TTCTTGGATGACTAGAATAGCTAATGAACCATCTCGGCCCACGTCCTCTTTCTTTCCTTGATCAAACTTCACATTTGGGTTGACAGTCATGGGCTCCGGTATTGCCAGCTCGCTCCTTGATGGCTGCCCTACTTCCCTTCAGATTTTTGTTGTCCTTCCCTTATAATCTTCTCTAGGAGCCCAAATGAGGCAGACATAATCTTAAGGGTGTCCACAACCACTTTGTTCTCTGCTCTCAAAGAATCCACTATTCTATAGAGGCATGAACAAATTGATTAAAATCATTCATCCGTTGATGACAAATCGAAACCCAATCCGATACTCTTTCTTCCAAACGTTCGAATCGACGCTTCAACTCTCGACAATACCCACAAGGTTCTTCAGTGGTGTGGTCTTGAGGATGTTCTATAGATGGAGGGGAGGGACTAGGCTGATGAGGTACCCTCATGTTGAGTACGAAGCCTTGCTCTACCCGTGTCGAATCATTATCGCCCTCTCCTTTAATTTTATGAAGCTCTCTTCTAATTTCGTTGATTTGACTATGAATAGCCGACTCTCTAGCTAGGACTAGCTTCCTACTTTTCTATTTGGCCGCATAAGTCCTTCATTTGTTCAAGGTTATTATATCTAAATCCAGTTGGATACCTCCTTTCGGTGATCGCCTTGTAATTCTCTAGGAGTCCATTGAAGAAGCGCTCATTCAGTCGGTCTTCTGAATGTCCATGATTCAGATTCAGTTGTGTAAGAACACCAAAATGTTCCCAAGCCTATTGGAAATTCTTTGGACCTTTTGTTGTTCATTCTTCTGAATAACAGCTATTGTACCGACAAGATATCGATACATAAAATTTTTCATGACTTCACTCCACGATGGGGCAGTAGCTTGAAATTCCTTATACCAGAAGGCGGGCTCCCCTAGCAGAGTGTAAATAAAGAAAATACCATTAAGTTGATCCTGAGTGTACCCTGGTATCCTCACAGTCTTGGCAGCACTCAAGAAGTATGACATATGTTTAAGGGCACTTTCATCATTCCCTCCTCGGAATTGAGATTGCTGGAGGAGTGTATCGATAGTTCACTTCACAATGCATTCCAACTCGTTTCGATCCATGATGTAAAGTCTCAAAACACACGAAAACTCCACAACCCGTGATGTACAAAGTTGGATAAAAAATACTAAACGATAAAAACTACGAAAATAACAAAAACACAAACAAGAAAACAAAGAAAATAAAGTCTAAACTAACAACTCGATAGTTTTCTATTAGTTACCAAGGTTCTTCGGCAACGGCGCCAAAAAGCTTCATCGATTCATTCCGTGCAGGTGATTGTCAATGGTTTGCACGTCTCAATAACTACCCCATACTATGCCAAGTTTAACCTCAAATGGTGTTGTCATATAGTAGTAATCAAGATTGTATTCACTCGGGTCTCGATACCCTAGCCTACTTCCCACGTTGTTGTTAACTAGCCGATCGGTTTAAGTGGGTTTGTGTTGGAGGATTCAAGTGAAATAACTAGTAGAGAGAATAAACAAGGATAAATGCAGGTACTTCGGGGAACTATCTATCACCCTAGCCTAGGTATATCATGCAATGTCTAAATAATTTGGGTTAAGTGAATGTGACGAGATAGCTCTTTTCTGTGGGCCTTCGTGATTATCCACACACCTCCGAGTACGTCTCCCCTAAATCCATGTCAATCATCTCGATTTAGGGTATCGTATCTGGGGTTTAGAACATAGCTCCTTTCAATGGATACTACCCACCGTCCATACCGAGGTTTCATCTCGGGTTCCATATAGGAAGGAATTCTTATGGTAGGTGTATGATCGCCTCGTCCACCAGAAGATCCTATTCATTCATCTAACACTAATATGTCAGATGACGCATACTCATCTAACGCTAAAACTCCATACCCAGCGTAGAAGCTCAAGTAGGTTAGTAGAGAACATTAGGGCGACTTACCCAAGCACAATTAAAGCTAGAGAGGCATCAAATTAACTAGACAAACACATTCATTGAAAATCCTAACACATTAATCCATTACATAATAAACCTAAAACTAGGGTTTGAGGTTAGAACCTCTAGTACCTTAAGAGACTACATAAAGGAGGGAAGAAGATACATAGAAGAATTTGGGGAAGACTTGACGTTGAGGAAAATGACTCCTCTCTTCTAGCTTCTCCTCCTTTTCCTTCTTCTCCTCTTTTTCTTCCTTCAACTTCTCTCTCATCTCTCTCTCTCTCTCTCTCTCTCTCTAAACCATAAATTTCTATCTCAAAATCAGCTCTCCTAAAATGGGGGAAGATTTCCTCTATTTATAAACTTCAGGGGGGCGGACAAGTTCGCGGCTAAGCAGGGGGAGATCACAATCGTGAACTTCCTAGCGGTCGGAGAAGACGGTGACCGTGATCAGACTGGCAAAACTTTATGTTCCTTCTCGTTTGGATTTTTCACGAAGTTGGCGCCCAAGGCCTCCAAATTCACGGCTACGATCTTGTGTTGCTTCCTTTATCTAGCTTTTACGACAATTTGATAGAATAGGGATTGTGGATTGTTGTGTTGTCGTTGGCTAGTAGTTGGGGTTTTGCTTTGGGGAGTTATTCGCTATATTTTAGTCTGTATGTGTTGGGGAGTTGTTTGTCTGATTGTGTAGACATTTTTGTTGGGAAATGGAACGAACAATGTATTTTATTGCAGGATGGCTAATGAGAAGATTGAGCTGAGTTTTAACCATGAAGGTTGGATGGACTTCTCCCAAGGCACACCTCGATACGTTGGTAGAAGTGTAGAGCCATTTGACATAGACATTGACATGCTCTCCTACTTCGAACTTCGACAAGTTGGTGTGATGTATTTGAACTATGAGAGGGTGTATCGAATGTGGAACATGTCACCACATTCTACCATTTATCAAGGGGTTCACGAGATTTTTTCTCATGCCGAGGTGATGGATGGTTTGTTTCCTTCAATCCAAAGTGGGCAGATTGTGATCTTTATTGAGGCTATTGATGGGTTAGGAGTTGTTGGTGACAGCGAAGGGATTCAAGAAGGTGGTAAGAAGGTGGGAGATGAAGAGGAAGAGGCTGAAGGCTCTTTTGCAGCTGATATTATCCATGTTGATGATGATTACGAGGAAGAAGAAGATGAAGACGTGCATACCTCAGACGACGAGTTCCACGAGGCGTGAGCCCACAAGAGACGTGCGTACTTGCACTTTTTAAAATTTTAAAAAGGTCCACTTTTAAAAAAGTTATAATATGCTTTAAGAAACTTTTTAATGTGTAAGAAATTGTAGCTCCTTTCAATGGGTACTACCCACCGTCCACACCGAGGTTTCATCCCGGGTTCCATCTAGGAATGCATTCTTTAGGCAGGGGTACGATCGCCTCGTCCACCACAAGATCCTATTCATTCATCTAACCCTAATCTGGATGACGCATACCCGTCTAACCCTAAAACTCCATACCCAGCGTAGAAGCTCAAGTAGGATAGTAGAGAAGATTAAGGAGACTTACCCAAGTACAATTAAAGCTAGAAAGGCATTACAATTAACTAGAAAAATGCATTCATTTAATACCCAAACATATTTATCTATTACATAATAACCCTAAAACTAGGGTATGGCATTTAGAGCCCCTAGTACCTTAAGAGACTACTTTATAAAAGGAGGGAATAAGATACATAGAAGAATTTGAGGAAGACTTAGATTTTGAGGAAGACAGATCATCACTTCTAGCTCCTCCTCCTTCTTCTCCTCTTTTTCTTCCTTCAGCTTCTCTCTCTCTAAACCATAAATTTCTATCTCAAAATCACCTCTCCTAAAATGGGGGAAGAGGTTTTGTATTTATAGACTTCAGGGGGGGGGGGGGGGCAGAGAAGTTCGTGGCTGAGCAAAGGGAGATCGTGAATGTGATCTTCTCCTCCGAGATCGGGATCTTCAGGCGTCGCTGTTTTGGTCTTCGATTGCTGGGAGTTCGCGGGCTAACTTCACAATCGCGATCTGTGAGTCGCGGCCACAAACTTCCTCGTGGTTAGGGAAGATGGTGACTGTGATTAGACTGGTGAAACTCTATTCCTTCTCGGTTGGCTTCTTCACGAAGTTCGCGCCCAAGGCCTCCAGATTCGCGGCCGTGGTCTTGGGCTCCCAGGCTGCGATCTTCACTCCAGTTTTGTGTAATGTTTTCTGGGCCAAGATCTTCCCCTTCAGGCCGTGATCATCAGCTTCCTATCCATTTTGCTACACTCGTGCCCCTTTTCGTACCTAATTCACATATATCATTTAAAGCACCTTAAAATCACATCATAATCAAATATGACAAAATAGAAATGCAATCGATGATATTCTAATGATTATGCACACGAATTAGCACGAAACAAACCTAAATATGAAGGACAAATAACACCAATTTCAATGTTATTAGCCCCTAGCTCCTTCCTCTTCCTCATTTAATTGTACAAGACACGTGAATCCCTTCTTCCCTCATCTTCCTTCTTAGGTGGAAAAAGGAAAATGGTAAACTCACATTTATTCTTGACTTCGGGCTGCCTATGTCAAACCCATTTAGTAGTTTCACTGGAAATTTATTTTCTTGATATTTTCCTTAAGTTTCAGTTGAAGCTGAGTTACTCAGACATAGGACAAGGTAGTAATGCTAGTGGATATAGCTTATTTACTCATTCTTGCACTGTAGGGCTCCAGAGTGGCGGCATATTCTCAACTGATCTTCACTTTATACAATGCATTAGGTGATGCTTTATCCTACGCGTTTTTCTTTCATACTGAGGCCTTCAATCATCTGATGATGTTCTGCCTGTATGAGCATTGGCTTGGAATTGGATCTATCCACCATAACTACCTTGTAACTTTAATTTGTTCATGTCAGTGTATGTTATCTATTCAACTGCATATATTACGTGCTCATAGTATCTGAACTTTTCTGTATGTTTTCCGGGATATTCCGTCTCACTGATCCAACCTGTCCAAGTGAAGAACCCGCTCATGTGTCCTGTGCCGAATTTCTTATGAAGAACTCGCTCATGCAATTGTCCTGAGGTATAAACTTTGCTGAGTACTGAACATTGGAATTGCTATGCCCTGCCGGAGCATCTAATTGGAATAAGCTTCTTGGCGAATTGCCGCCAATAGTTTCAGACGCCAACATAGCTCCGCCGCATGATCGTTGCTCATGTCTCTCGCCCCCTCAGCAGTTTGTCTGACTGTTGAGCCCCAAAATGACTTATCTGCACAATTCTTGGGCGTACCAGAATGCCAAGAACTGCCATATCCCATTTTTCCCCCTGAGACAGCAGACTACCGAGGAAGGGGAACCAAATGAAGCAACACAAGTCAGAAGCAAAACGGTTATATGCAGTTATCTCCACACACACTCAATCCAACGTCGTCGAACATTTCTCATGTGCTCTCTTGACAGAGACTATTAATGGAACAATAACAATCAGTAATATTACAACAACAATGTCAAAAGAAAGTGGTCTCATCCAAGCCACTGCTGAGCACGACGTTCTCCACTGCTACCAACAGCACGCCGAATACTGATCGTCTCCGTGGAATACTTTTCCTGGAGCCATTCGAAAGCTGTGACGTCAAGTTTCCCATTCACCGACTTGCCTTGCTTCCTACGTACGTGTTGTTCCCTAACAGAGGCCCATAGCTTCTCTATGGCATCTCTTTGTTTAGATGTAAACCTCTGAACGTTATCATGAGCGTGCTGCACTAATATATCTATCACTGTCTGGCACCTGTCGAAAAGAGAATGCACTTCGACAACTTCAGTTATAGTGCAGTTGAGTATAGCTACCCAGTGGAACTAAATCAAGGTTGCAGTTCTTACCAAGGTGTTTTGTAACGCCGAGCAGCAATATCTAAGCAGGTGATTACGGCTTCTCTTTGAGACCTGAGATGTCTCTTTAATTCAAAATCTTCTTCCTTTTTTGCATCCTTTGCCTTTGCCCTCTCATCTTTCTTCACAGTGCTTGGAATCAGTGCATCAAGCCCAAATGGATCGGCCTCATTGTCCTTAGCTTCTTCCACTGCTACAGCACCAGATGTATCTCGCCGGGTTTCTTCATTTCCATCAGTTGCTGTCCCAATTTGATCTAGCAGTATTGCAGCTTCCTCTGCATCATCATCCTCAGTTACAATTGGTAGCTTGCTTATTGTCTCCTTTAATTGACCGGCAGTCTTAGAAAACTGCAATAATGTAGTGAGGAATTCCCGGGTCTTAATCATTCGAAGAGACATTGTATGAAGGGAATCTAATGAGGTAAGCATACAGCAAAACATATCAAACCAAGCCTATCTTGTTAAGTCTGTAGCACAATATTACTATTCACCCCAGCAAGGGTTTAGGGCTATGGTTATGGCTGTTGGCATCCCACCAACTCCAATGGATGAAACAGAAGAAGAATTCTCATGGCTCAGAAATCTCCGCAATAAAATTAAGTAGAGTCAGAAGAGCATACCACAAAGCTGTCATCAGTGAACAAGTCATTCGCCACCACTGCCATAATCGACCATGTCTCTAATTGATGCTTCTGTTTCCTGTTCAGGCACTACAAGCACGACAAAGCAAAGATAAAGGTACTAATGAATTTCCAAAGGTGAATATAACTTATCTTAATGGCTCCGAACTTTTTGCCAACAGCAAACATGATCAAAACATTGAATCAAAGACTCACTTCAGAGGCATCATGTGCTGCAGAGAACAATGCATGATAATCTGCACGCACAGAAGGATCTGTACAAGACATGGTTGACGACATTGCAACCTCCAGAATGGCAAAGAATTGGTCACTGGTGCTGGGAGTTACACTACCAGCATGAATTAGCTGTATAGCAAGCTTTGAAGCCTTTGAGAACTTGGTTGGGTTCTTGATATGTGATGCTATTTTCTGCATGGCCTCTATAACTTGCTCTGCAGAGGCATCCGTAGTGGTTTTGAACCGCAGCTTCTTCTTCTCTGGCGCCGCCAAATCCTTTTCAACACCCGATCCTACAAACAAGCATTGACAGAAGCACAATTCTGAGATTTTCTATTAATTCACTTTGCTAAACAGTGGGTTCCTTTCGTTCTATAAATTCATCCATAGCAGCAACAAATTGAAGCTCCAAACTTTTTTCACAAACCATTCTCGAGGGTCAATAACTAAAGACAAGGGGAACCAAGACAAAGAAAATCAAACCCATTCTATCAACCAGGTACTGAATCCACTAAATTGAAGAGTTCAAACAGTTCCATGCTTCGGGGAAAAGCTCCGATTCAAACAGAAAATCTAGCAGCTCCGAACCTAGAAAACCATAAGTGTACCTTCGGGTTCTTGGGTAGACTCCACAGGCTTTGACCGTTTAAGGGCGCTCTTCAAGGCCGATTTTGGAGGGGGCGGAACCAGCACCAGCTCTGTATTGCTCTTCGCTAGCGGAGGCGGCGGATGATTGTCTTTATGGAGCTGATGAGAAGGAGGGGGAAGCCCTTCAAACAGATTGTCTCCCATTCCTTTCTCGCGGTCAAAACCACAGTTCCTTCTCCGATCGCGTGGCAGAAAATGACTGTGCAGTTGATAGACCGATCGAACTTCCGGTCTCTTTCTCTGACCCTCTCACCGCCGATTCTTGGATTATCGGTGGATGTTCGAATTCTGCCTTCCGTTTATTCCGTAGGGGAAGAAGACAGTAAATGATGACGTCATCTAATGGGCCAAACCCTTACCCAGGAAAATCTATTGGGCGGACCAACTCTTTCTTAGCATCCGTCTGATTGGGCTCATCAATGTCTCTGCCCCGTTTACTGGTTTATTGCGAACTAATTTTCTAGGCCTATTTGATTTTGTTCCACTGATTTTTGTTACGAATCTCGATCTTACAATCTATTAACACCTTTTAAAATAATCCCTATCTCCATAAATATTATCATATTCTTAAAAAATATTAATCAAAATACTGTTTTTTCAAGAATAATCCTCAACTATTTTTTTTATAAGTGTGATACTGGTTTAAATTTTTGTGATTAAGGTACTACTGGAGGAATTCATAATCCTCATCTAATTTCTTAGATAGACGAATTTAGGTGTCTGCCGCAATTGAGTTTTTTGGAGGACAAAAAGACGAATTGGGGCGTGTGTCTCAATTGACTGAACAACACCTAAAAATCAAATTGGGTTGGCAAAAAGTCAAATTTGTGTCCGTGCGTCCGAATGAGATTTTATGTCCTCTCAATTAGTTTTTTTCGTCCATATGTTTAAAATATAATCCTCACAAATGATGATTGTTTTTCCTCCGTCTTCCTCTTCCAAGCTTCCCAAAAACCGGTCGGAAAAACTTCCTCCTACCAGCTAACCCGCCAGAAAACCCTCTTCCTCTACACAACAAAAGAAAACCACCCTCCCTCACCAGTCGCGTCTTCTCCAACCCTTCTTATCCTTTCTGCCGTCGGTCATGGAAGACGAAGATTTTGATGGTGGAGGGTACAACGATGAGAATCACTGTCGTGGCTGCTAAAACACGGGTAGAGGTAAAGTTGGCGATCGTCGGCTTGTCGCTCTCATGAGTTTGTGCCCATGTTTTCACTTTTCTTCGTTGGTGGCGAGGTTCTTTGAGTCTTGCCATTCACCAAAAGAAATTTTTTATTCTAGTGTTAAATTATCTTTGTGTTTTGATTTTCAGCTCATACTATGTATGATCAATATGCATTGATGTTGCCACTGAGAACGTTAAATCCAACTCCAATAGAATATGAATTATTATGGGCGGATGGTTAACATCGAGCTGATATAGTTTTTGGTCGAATGAGGTAGGTACTTTTTAATTAAAACATTACAAGTTAGTTAATTTAGCTTGAGCTAATATGAATTAGTATAGTTTTTTTATTAGTGACTAGGAATAGATTGATTGTGATGGATTGTATGCTCCTAATAGGTTAGTGTTTCTGGTTAAGTTTATAATTTATACTTCAACTAAATTATATGTAATTAATTAGTTAGTTATTTATACTTATTTACATGATGATGCTTAGGATTTGATTCGTCCATATAAGACTCGAGGTACGTCTATATTTTAGGCAAGTATTATGAGGAGTTTATACCTACGGGGTATTAGTCTCTATACTTTAAAGGAGTTTGGAGGATGTTGAAGTTCTTACAGGACTATCAGCTGACGGTAGGGCTAGAAAACGGTCCAAACCGGTCAATTTGCACTGGATTGACCGTGTTGCAATTCTAGCAAAATGGCAACTGGAAACTGAATTATATTCTGAATATAGTTTCAACTATGACCGGATTGGATTGATTCTGTCAGGTCCGGTTTTCAACCCAAACCATAGTGATCCGAAATCGTTAAACATTATGTCGTTCCATCAAATTTAATTACAAAATTTATGCCAATCTCGGTGACCTCCCACCCTGCTATCCTTATCCGTCTACCTCAAATTCCATCTCTCTCCCCATTTACTTCTCTTATGGACTTCTTCCTTGTCGTTGGACTTCTTCTTCTTTGTCGGACTTGGCAAATGAGAACTGAGAAGAGACTAAGAGTACGGGATAGGGAGACTTGAAGTCGTGACATCTTATCGGAGAGGCTTGAGCTGAGACTTGGATTCGCGTGAAAAGGAGAGGCTAAAGTGAGAAGTGGAGGAGGCAGAGAGTCGTGCCGATTATTAGCCGTCCTACAGGTCGTGAAATTGAAAGGTGACTAGTGGCATGGTCATCAGTGTCGCTGACTGTTGTGGGTCTTCATTGTCGTTAACGAGTGTCTGTCATCGAGACCAGCAGAGGAGGAGGGTGATTTAGTTTGTTTTGACAAGTCGGCATGGGGGTTGACGAGTTTAATAGATGGGGAGGTCTGGTCTGAGGGACTGTTTGAGAGAGAGGGGGCAGGAGATGATTAGGGTTATTGGATTACATTAAGAAGGATGTTCTATTTCTCTTAGTTAGGGTTTGGCCTTATTTAGTTTTAGGATTTTGTGTTGTGGGCTCATGCATGATTGTAGGCTTATGGATTGGGCTTGTTGTGGATTGTAATATTTTAAATGTTCCAATTTTTAACCAGACAAAACCAGGATGGTTTTTTTCTACCAGCCAAGGTTGTCAACCCGCGGGTCGACCCACTTTGACCCTGACCCAGTGAGAAAAACAGGCCACACGCACCGGCGGGGTCGACCGCTACAAGGTACCAGGTTGGAGGTTAAATCGTGTCATTTTTTTCTTTGATTTGCGAAATGCGCCTATTTTCCGATTTTTCTTTTCTCCTAACTCAATCTTTGGAATCCTAAGTTGAACATTTGAATATTGATGTTATATAAGTGTGTGTGAATTTTCACTATATGTTGGATCTAAGTACGATATACTATTTTGGTGTAATATTATATGTTATAACTCATATGTTAGAAAAGATTTGATATAATTTATCAGGATAAGTACAATATAATGATTCTTTCCATATTTCTGAGCCAAACTAGGCTAAAATGGTTGACCCATTAACCCTTGACCCACTAGCTCGACTAGGTCCGGGTCCGCCCGCGGGTTGACAACCTTGCTACCAGCACAACCAAAGACTAAATTGGATAGCAACGATCCAATTTTCGGTTGCGATAGGTCTAGTTTTAACTGTCCAATTTTAGGTTTAACTGGAAAACCATAACCAAATTTCCAGTTCTAGTCGATGGAAAGGTGGTGTTCTTAGATATATCATACTCATGATGGTATGAGTTAAGCATGGACCTACTTGGGAAGTTTCCTCCCATAGAACAACGATCATATCTTGTGAATGGACGTGTGAACTGTGAAGTGCTATTTAGTTAGAGATATGTGTTCCATCTTGCTAGAGAGAGATTTAGATCAGATGATGAATCAGTATAAGCGAGCATACACCATGCTACTTTTAGGATTAGTGATGTTTCCTTATTGATCGGGAGGTTAAATGCATCATATGTATGGCCTACCTTTCCAGGATTGGGCATGTGCAAGAAATTATGCATGGGCGCAACTCTGCTAAAATACTTGCATCGAGAGCTCGGTAGGACCACTTTGTGGATAATAATCTGCAACTACTTTTGGAGGTGATCTTGGAGGCTCGACCGACTTGATAAATGTATGGGTGTGGGAGTGATTTCCAGCACTAGCCCCTTTGGATACACGCACGTGAAATCTAGTTAGCAAGGATGTCCATCCACATGTTATGAGGTGTTTTCTCCACCAATATCTGGCTCACTTGAACTACATGCATTGGTTCATGCCTTCCAATGTTTTGACGTTCACTCCATCACTCTAAATTGAAAGTTCCCATTGTGTAATGCTTTATGGTCCTTTGTGCAGCTTCTTTTGAACAAAATAATAGCCCAATGCAGAATTCTTGTTCTAGATGGCCTATTTTGCCATCCATACATAAGATTCAATTCACATCTCGTTGTGTTAGTCTTCAGAGAGCTGCAAATAATATGATGTAGGAACATGTGGCTCTAAGTTTGAGGTAGCAACTCCTTCAATCACAACTTGATACTCAACTTCATTAACTTCATCGTTATCGATATCACCCTCATTGGCCTCATCTATACGACCATCCGGCTCACTAAGAACACTATTAGACGGCATACTTGATGTATCATTCTCCTCTATTAGTGGACTAGCAAACTCTTACTCGACACACAAATCAGCAAACATACAATTTGGATTTCACACAATAAAATTAATTATCATGTCAATACCAATATCATCATCCATAACAAGAATACCATAATAATAAAATTAACCATTTCCTTCCAATTCTGATAGCCTAAATGTAAATGATGCTATTGTTTCTTCTACTCCTTGTCGTAGATTGGGATGTTCACATCATATAGTTTTCCATATGTCAAACAACCAAGTACTTTTAGTATGAAATTAATACCACCAATAAACCTCAACCACAATCCCAACTTTCTAAATTCTCTTTGAACTACCCACCAAACAACAAGTTTAAAGGCTCTAAGATCATTACACACAAAGAACAAAAATATAACCATAGAACAATCAAATTAAGTACTGACCAATTTACACATACCACTTCAATTCTAAAATTTACTCTAGTAAACATTGAAATATTATTGACATGTCTTGCACTAACCATAATCTCTCAAGTGGTTGAGCAATCAAAATTCATGAATTTTTTTTTAATATGGTGGATGATATTTGTAGGACATGAAAGTTGAGAATGATGGAAGATGATGCGACGGTTCATTAAAATATGGTCTCTTATTTCTAGGTCCTCAAATATGATCGTTTTCTCAAATATTCCTGTTAGAAATAATTTTCGTTGGTCTGGGAATGTTAATAAATTTCTAACCGCTGGAAACCAGTTTGGGGCGACAAAACTCACAATTTCTAGGGTTAGCTCTTTAGCTGCGACAATCATTGGTGCAACGGGGACGTTGGCGGACGATGGTGGCTGTGCATCTTCCTGGCCGAGCTTACCCACAAGAGCGGATGGAGTAACAAAATCTATGCTCGAAGGAAGCCACGAGCTTGGTGGAGTTGCGGATGGAGGCTCAACAACCACGGTTGGTGATGGTTTGATGGTGGGCGATGCGGTTAGCTCATTAGAGGGATCAATACTGGGTTGCAAGGTCATCGTCGATTGTAGCATCGTATGAATAGCTATCATCGTGTGGTTGTACTCCTCCCGAATCGCGTCAAGCATGCCAAGATTCCAGTCTTGAAATCATCGTTTGAGGTTGGTGGTGTTCTCGTGGCGGCTGGTTGGGCTTATC